AGTGTTTCTGTTGAGAAATTAGAACCTTATGGGAACTCCCTTGTAGGTAACTTATTATCTCTCTAATGCTGCCTTTAAGATTCTCTTTTTGTCTTAACATTTGCCATTTTAATTATGGTGTGTCTTGGTGTGGGCCTCTTTGGGTTCCTCTTGATTGGGACTCTGTGCTTCCTGAACTTGTGTGAGTTTTTCCTTCACCAGGTTAGGGAAGTTTTCTCTCGTTATTTCTTTAACCAGGTTCTGTATCCCTTCCTCACTTTCTTCTCCTTCTGTAACCCCTATGATACGTATGTTGTTATATTATGTTGTCCCAAGGTTCCCTTAAACTAATATCATTCTTTTTAATTCTTTATGGTGCTCTGATTGTTTTTTCTACCTTGTTTTCCAAATCACTGATTTGATCCTCTGCTTCATCCAGCCAATTGTTTATTTCTTTCAGTGTATTCTTTATTTTACAAATGGCATTCTTCATTTCTGACTATTTTTCATGGTTTCTATGTCCTTTTTCATGCTGTTGAGCATCCTGATAACCATTACTTTGAGCTCTGTTTCTGATAAATTGCTCGCCTCCATCTCATTTAGCTCTTTTCCTGGAGATTATTCCTATTCTTTCATTTGGGGCCTGTTTCTTTGTCTCCCTATTTTGGCTGTCTCTTTGTGTTTGTTTCTATATAATAGATATAATTGCTATAATTCCCAGTCTTAGTGGGGTGGCCTTCTGTAGTAGGTGTTCTGGGGGACCCAGCATTGCAGTCTCCATCTCCTGAACTGGGTGCTCTAGGAATGTCTCTTGTGTGGGTTATTTGGGCCCTCATATTGTAACTGGGTCTTGATTACTGTTGGGAAATTTGTGGGTGGGATCAAACCTCAAGCTGGCTGACTGTGAGGCTCAACCCTGATCATGGCATGCAAGAGGCTATGTAGGTGTCTTACTGGGCTCAGTGATATAATCTTCCAGATCACCTGAGCTCCATGCTCCAGGAATGTTTCTTGTGGATTATATGCACCCCATCTTATAGTTGCATCTTGATGAATGCTATTGGCTCTTTCATGGGTGCTGTTAACCTTTCAGGTTGAGTGATTATAGGGATAAACCTCTTTCACCTTGTATGAGATGCTATGCAGGGGTTGTTTCCCAAGGTGGGGTTGTTCTCAGCAGTATCTGGTGCCTACCAGAATCTTCCTTTAGGTGTATCACTTGTGTGGCTGGTTGGTGGTTGGATCAAGCTCTGGTTTGGTCTGAAGCCCACCACTGGTTGTATTGGTTCTGATCCACTTTTGTGTAGTTCAGGTGCAGGAGTGTAATCAGTTTTGGGCTACCTGTCTAGAGCTACCACAATGTTCATTGTGTGTGTCTGCATCTACCTGACTTGGGTGTGCATGGGAGTGGCCAATCTGTGTAGATGGGTCAGCTTCCTGGAGCTCTGAGCTGGGGTCAGATCAACAAAATTCCAAGGCTCCCTGAGGTAGGCCTTCACCTGTCAGTTACTCAGTGTGT